AGCGGGACCTGGCCTTTGTTCATTGACAGCCGATCCGTAAGAAAACTGTCGGGTGAACTAGTCTCACAGGTGCAGAGGGAGTAAATGCTGGACAGAACTGTGAACAATCCCGCTGCTTCACCAAGCGACGCGGGCAATTTTATTGTTGCACCTTGACAGCCATCGCGTTGTCCCCTGTTCAGTGCAAATGCCCCGTGCTGTCCCAGGACAACAGCGACGAGAACTAGCCTCAAGGAATTTGACTGTCACTCTGTCCTTAAAAGCTGGTTTACAAGACCAGTCCTGTTTATATTTTCTTTGGCTTTAAATTATAAATCACAGCACTTCTTTTATGCAAGCTTGAAAAAACAACAGAATGTGACAAGTTCTGTAGCTTCCTGATCTGACCATAGTGTTTCTAGAAAGTCTCTCCACCCTCACATTACTTCTGACGTGGCAAGTATGGCAGTCCACAGAAGCTCCTGGAGGTGGTGACGATGGTGCACCTGCCTACTGCCCACACCTCACCCTTGCCAGAAAAGTGAATCCCACCAAAACAGAAGCCATTTAATCCGTTGCCGGTGCTCAGGAAGGACCTAAAAATGTTTGTCATATGGCCCTGCATATCACCTTTTGCTTTAAGAACATGGAATTCAACCTCACTGATAACCATGATTTTGGTTCAGGTATCTATCAGCTCTTTTCAAGGGACTTTTCCTTTAAGTTTTTTCTTAGATGCTTTTTTTATTTTTTGGGGGGTACTGGGGATCGAACTCATGACCTTGTGCTTACCAGGCAAGTGCTTATGCCACTGAGCTATATCCCCAGCCCTTTTTGGGTAAGTTTTTAAAGGCACCTTGAATCTCCTTCTCTTTGAAAGTATATAGAATAAAAATCAGTGAAATTGGCATCTTCTTACCAAGTTGTGTGATCCTTCCCTCACTGCTGGCTGGCCTGGCTGCCCCGCGCCGGGGCCTAGGGATGGCCACGGTGCTCACCTTTCACAAGCAGCCTGACAAGGCAGGGTCAAAAGGACTAGTCATTTCCAGCAGAAGTGGGAACGCAAAGGAAATCCTAAATGCTTTCACTGTACTACAGCTCTGTATTCGTTACCGAGTGCTGACAAATTGTTACAGAACTCAGCAGCTTAACACACTTATCTCACAATTACTGTGGGTGAGGAATTCCAGCAAGGCTGAGCTAAGTATCTTCGCTTCCTGTTCCCCGTAAGGCTGTAATCACGCTGGATCCAATCCCAAACCCAGTGGTTGTGGGCACGGTTGCTTCCTGGGTTGCTGGCACCGAGGGCCTCAGTTCTCTGCTGGCTGGCTGCCTCTCTGGGGCCACTCACGCTGGCAGCTGCCTCCTCAGAACAAAGACTGAACAGAGGAATGGCCGGGCCTGTGGCACGGCTGATGTCTGCAACTTGGGAGTCTCGGGCACTCAGAGAAGTGCAGTGAATTCAAGGCCAGCCTGAGCTACAGAGCAATATCCTGCCCCAAAACAGAAACAGTGAGAAAGGGAGGGAACAAAATCCACAGCCTGTGAGTAACTCAGTTTTATCAGAAACGCTGTTCCATTTTCAGCTTATTCTGTTAGGACAGTCAAAACGCACAGCCGCACTCCAGCCAAGCAGACGACACAAGGGCAGGAAAACCGCGAGGTGGGAATCACTAGGGGCCCTTCAGAAGTTGTTTTTCGGTTATGCAGCCAGTTTTCTGCTGAAGCGAGCATTTACCAGCACAGTTTACCGGCACGAAGGGTTACTCTAGCGGCCTTACGTGCAGGTGGAGCTGTGTCTGCAGTACACTGATGCTGTAAAAACGGAAGCGCTCCAGTCCTTCAATGCTAACCTCACACTTCCGGTAGGACTCATGTATTCCCAGCAGCAACCACCGCCTTCTGTAGCTGGTCAGGCAGAGCAAGCAGTGCACACGACGTGCTAGTGGCACAACTATGAGAAACAGTGCGCCGTCAACCGTCTAGTTCTGCCACTGAGAGCGTAAGGTCTGTACTGTACTAAAAAGGGCAAAAACTAGATCAGAATTAAGAACAGGAAAGAAGGCCAGGTGTGGTGTCGCACGTCTGTAATCCCAGCACTTGGGAGGCCGAGGCAGGAAGATCGTTGCGAGTTCGAGACCAGCCTGGGCTACAAAGTGAGCTCAAGGGCAGCCTGAACTGCGTAGCGAGACCCTGTCTCAAAAAGACAAAAAAAAAAAAAAAAAAGAACAGGAAAGAATACGATAAAAATCTAAAGTGGCATGCTATAAAATCAAACTGACCATCTACATACAGTGTTAGAAACCCTTCTCACAAGAAATGGTTTGTAATCAATACCAGACACTGAGATAACCTTAACTCCTTGGCTAAAATCTCTAAACATTTAGCACAAGCTCAAAATTTCTGGATTTTTAATTGGGATATGGAAGCTAATACTGCTGTAGGAACGTAAAGACAGATGCATTATCATGCACGGAGTTGGTCTGAACTTTTAACAGTCTTGATGGGCCGGGGACATAACTAAGCAGCACAGCACCTGCCTGGCAGGCACATAATCCTGAGTTAGATTCCCAGTACCAAAAAAATAAAAATGTCTTTAGTGACAAAAAAACCCACCTTCCTTCTCAGTAGACCTCAAGGTTTACAGCCATTTTTCTATATTAACATCCTGAAGACTGCAAGCAGTTAGCAGTGCTCCTGCCAATTACCAAGGCCCTGAGCACACGGGCATCTCTGTTACCAGTTCACAGCATCGTCAGCAGGCCTTCAATTCTGCACTTTCCTCACACGCTCCGGAGCTGCTAAGTGGTTTCCCTGTGGACACCCCATTTGCTGGCTCTTTTGAGACAGCCACAAGCTCTCCTCCAACAGCACTGAAGGTTTCCTCAAACCCGGGAGCTCCATGTTCATACAGAGCTTGGAAGCACTGCCTCAACTCGCTAGTCTGGTAAACGCTAAGGAGAATCGCACCAGATTACATTCTGGCTAACGTTATAAACACACGATGTCTCAAGACTGCACAATTAAAACCAATTCACTAGGACAGCTTATGTCGTTCAAGAATAGGTGGGAATGCACTTTCTATGAAAACACTAAAAATGAAAGGCGGAAAAATGAAAGTAAAAATGAAAGGCAGAAACACATACACCAGAAGGAAGACAGCCTCTAATAAATGCTGGTGGAAAAAATGGCTCGGCACATGTCGAAGATTAAAGTTGGACCCATACCTTTCACCATGCACTAAACTGAACTCGAAATGGACCAAAGATCTAAATATTAAAACAGAAACATTAAATCTGATGGAAGCTACAATAGTTTCTCTTGAAGACATTTGCGTAAGCAAAGATTTTATGAATCAAACCCTGATCGCACAGGAATTATCACAAAGAACCAGCAACTGGGACCCCATCTTATTAAAAAGCTTTTACACAGAGAAACCATCAACAGAGTGGAGACAACCAGAGTGGGAAAAATGTTTGCCAGATGCTCCTCAAAGGTTTACTATCAAGAACATATAACGAAAAAAAAAAAAAAATCAGACTTCCCAAATTTAAAGATTCAATCCAAAAATGGGCACTGAAGACAAACACACACTTTTCAGATAAAGAAATACAAACAGCAAATAAATACATGAAAAAATGTTTAACATCGCTGGTCTCTTGAGACATGCAAATTAAAACACTGAGATTCCATCTCACCCAAGAACGGCTGTCATCAAGAAGCCAACCAGTAACAAATGCTTGAGGGGCCGTGGGGAAAAAGAAACCCTTCCCCACTGTTGGTGGGAATACAGACTGGTACAGCCACTGTGGAAATCAGTGTGGATGGAGATTCCTCAAAAAATTAGGACTGGAAGTCCCATTTGACCCAGCTAGTCCCCTTCTGGGCATCTTCCCAGAATTAGAAACATCGTACTACAGTGATATATGTCAGCCCAAGTTTAGCAGCACAATTTGTAATATCTTGGAAAAAACCCAAATGCCCATCAACTAAGGAATGGATAAAAAACGTGGTCTTTTTAAATAATGGAGTGTTACTCAGCCATAAAGGATAAACTGGGGATTTCTAGGTAAACTGATGCAACTTGAGACCATACTCGTGAGTGAAATAACCAGACGTGAATGTGTGAACATCATATTGTCTCCCTAGTATAAGATGATGAAAAAGTAAGATTTAAAATGTGTAACAGACATTGTAAAATAGTAAACTTTAAAAGGAAAGAGAAACTGGTTTGGGGGAATGGAAAAAGCAAAAGGAAAAAAAAAAATATAGCCAGGCGTGGTGGCACATGCCTGTAATCCTAGCACTTGGGAGGCTGAGGCAGAAGGATCATTGCAAGTTCAAGGCCAGCCTGGGATACAAAGTGAATTCAAGGCTAGTCTGAACTGCATAGTGAGACCCTATCTCAAAAAAAAAAAAAAAAAAAAAAAAGCTAAAACCTGGAAAAATATATGAAGCAATAATGGTAAAAAGCAATTACCTTTAATAAGAAGTCCTAAGTCATCAAATAAGGAAGAACTCAAAAAGCAATCTGAATAATTTGGGCAAATAAAACATAGTTAATAAAACAAAATTTTTGCTTCTTTAGCAATCGAATATGCAAACTAAAACAAGGTACTCTTTCCAGGGGCAAACAGTGAACAGGAATAAAATGAGATTACAAGGCCCATTCAAACACTGCTGGCACACAGACAAAGTCCATCTACTCTCTGGGTAGGTATATCATACACCTTAGAAAGATGCTCACTCTGGTCTAGTAGCTCCATGAATTTGTTTTAAGGAATAAAGTAAACAAGTGCATGAAAACCTGTATATAATGCTATTAATCAGCTCAACGCTTCAGGAAGAGTTTGTATTATCCGCATTTTGCCTATGCTGCATTAGTACTTTGAAATACACACATGCACACACCCTACAAATGGTCTATTTAAGTTCAAAAAGCATGTTCAACTAATTTCTTCTTCCAGCTGCTCAGGTCAGACCCACGTGAGCAAAAATGAACAGAAATTTCCAGAAACACGTAGGTTATTAAATACTTTATTGTGCTGCATTTGTAAAGAAAACAGACAATGCACTCAGTAGAAAGAATAAAAATGTATCAGGGCTTTATTTTTAACTAACAGCAAATAGAAATTCTTGATCATGGTAATCTGACAGTGTCAGGACTGAGCTCAAAAAAGGTGCGTGGAGTACACGAAGAGTGAGGTCTCCAGATACCTCTTTTCAGGTCGTCTAATGTATCTGGCTCCTTCAGTGACAGAGGGCAAAGCCCTCATCTAGCGGGAAAGATTTCCAAAATGAAGTTGTAGGTTTTCTCTCCTATTAAAAATTCCTGTCATGTCAATTGTTAAAATAGAGCCTTCTGTTCGTTTCTGTGTCTTCCGGTTATTTCAAGTTACCAGCATCATCAGAATTCTCTAATTCCACCATGGGGATTTTACAAAGTAGGAGAGACTGCAGTTAAGTCTGCTATTGCTTTAGATGTGAATACAGTTGACAACCCAGAGTAGATTAGGATTGCTGAAGAATTTCCCTGCCGTTGAGATCATCTGTTGTCTATTCTTGACAGGTGCATAGATAGCCTGACTTAAAATTCTTTCTACAGGAACACGTCTGATTTCAAGAGTAACCAATCAAAGGTCCGACGAATGGTTGGCCAGTTCCTCGGAGTAATACATTTAAGAATTAAATGGACTGTCTAAGGACACCACCACTTGTACCTTTGCATTGGTGGTGGTAAGTGACAGAAACGGATTCCAACCTCCCATACAGAAAGCTGGCTGTCCATCGGACAGCTTCACTGGTAGCCTGCCAGCAGGGCCTCGCGCTGCCCCTCCTCGGCTTTCTGTAAAGGGAAGAGTTCCAGAGCTGCTCCCAGAGAACGCTGTCATCTCCAAGGCCCACTTGGTCCATGCTGAGTAAGTGGCTATGACCCAGTCCTGCCTTCTTGTACTGCCCAATGTTACCCAAGGAGTATGTCATGGCCGGGCAAGTCTACGGGAGGCCAGTCCTAATATAAAATTCATAAAGCCTTTTTGCATGAAGGGGAAAAAGCCTCAAGTACATTTCAATCATCTCAAAATTACAGTTATAAACTTACATTATATAAGGAAATAGCAGCAGAGAATGGCTAACCTTAAAGTCAGTGGGCAAAAGCAGCCAACGAAAAAAGGGCCATCCCACCCCGCTCCTTGGCTCTTTAATCCAAAATGCATTCAAGACTCCGAGACTATGAAAGTGGGAACAATAAAGCAAACTGCTCAAAACCACACTTATGGGCAACATGAAAAGCTGTAAATAAAATCAGAGAAGTGTCTGGAGAACCGTCAGACCTCTAGAACATTTTCTCCTTAGACGGGCAGCTCTGAAACCAAGACCTCCATTCAGAGTCATCCTGATTTTTTAGTTATGGGGCAATAAACTCAAGTGCGTTGGGTAAAGTGCCAGCCAGGGATTTAAAAAGCAAAAAATAGAATAGTCACTTAAAGGAATTCTTGCTTTTAGGGCAACAGAAGACACGTAGGAGCGTTTGAACACGAGAGGTTCTCAAGAAACGAGTATTCAATGGTTCCATTTTTGTTTACATTAAAAATTAGAATGAAGACTTGCTCTGAACTGTGATAAGATGGCACTCAAATTTGGTATTTATACAGCTCTTTCCAAAAGGTAGTAGTTTAAAAGTTGCAGGAAAAAACAAAAACATAGAGAACAACAGAAACAATCCAGGAACCTGACGCAGCCTGGACAGAGCAAGTTTAATGTCTCTGTTGTACACAGAACGGACACCCACTCCCCTCCTTCCTCATCCTTATGCTGGCAATAATATATACGCTACAAAGTTTGACTCTCGGAGTCAGTGAATAGAAGGATGGGCTCCTAGGCCTTCATAGCTCTTTTTTAAAGAGGATGTTTACAATGTACAGGATGCCCTGATGGAAAGGGGAGGGCAGAGAGGGTGAGAGGCTGCTTCACATTTTCAGTTCATTGGTCTTTGGCAGGCCCCAAGGCCAAATTTATCCAGGACACCCAGAGGCAGTGGGGATCTCCACAAGGTCAAGTAAGCAAACCCAAATGAACATACTGGATGAAGGAAAAAAGAAAAGAAATCTAGAAACCCTGAAGAAAGGGCTTCCCCTTGGGAAGAGGAGGGCGGACGGTCAGTGTAGTGATCTCTGCTGCTGTGGGGCGGGCTGTGGCTTAGGAACTGAGCCAAGGGTGCCGGAGACACTCGGCAGCGGTGGCTCTCTTCTCGGGGACGAGCTCCAACATGGGCAGTAAGAAATCTGTGAAGCCAGCCGCCTCCTCCTGAGACCACTCATACTTCTCCACCAGAACCTCAAACAGGCCCCAGGGTTTCAGCTTCGTGATGTGCTTCAGGTCACCTGTGATGAAGACAGTACAAAAGAAACTGACCAACAGTGACAAGGGACGAGACCCTCCTGTGGAAACCCAGGAGCTGATGGGGGGGAGGGGTCTATAAAGGACCCAATTCTGCAATCAGAATCTAACATTCCATTCATGAACCACCTCTCTCATCTTGAATCTCAAGAAATGCCCCTATTTTTTACACAGTCCTAAAAATTAAAGATGTTTATTCCTCTCATTTCAGGAATATTTTGGTCCCAGTTCAACTAGGGTAGGCTTGGAAATCAGGAACTCGTTACTTACTACAGTAAATACTAACTGCCTACACCCTCACAGACAAGGTCTGTACGTGGCCTCACGTGATGTTAGAGGCAGTCTACTTTCATATATTAAGAACAATTTGCCCTGTAATGTCAGTTCGTCAGAGGACAGCAGGAGGATCGCAAATTCAAGGTCAGCCTGGGCAGTGTGGCAAGACCCCATCTCAAAGAAAAATTACAAGGGCTGGGGATGCAGGTAAGTGGTAGAGCAATTGTCTGGCATGTATGAGGCCCTTGGTTTGTCCCCAGCACCACAAAACAAATCCCCAAACTCCACTTTGCTTGTACTTTTCTTGGGGGAGGCCTCAGTAACCTAGTAAATGTTGCTTCAAACTAAGGCAGTGATTTAAAAATAGAGTTAACACTATGTCAACATGAATAAAAGCAACAAGATTAAAAGAACAAACCCTATATGGATTTCAGACATAGTAGCATCAGACTGTACAACTTCAATGTACGTTAACTGCTTCTTGTAAGTGATTTGAGCTGGGGATTACACCCGGGGCCCTGCGAATGCCAGGCAAGTCTTCCACCACTGAGCTACACTCCCAACCTTCAAGTGAAGATTTTAGGAGACAGAGTCTTGCAATGTTGCCCGGGGTGGTCAAAAACTCTTGGGCTTAAGTGACTCTCCTGCTTTAGCCTTCTGACTAGCTGGCACGGCAAGCACTCGCCTTTGTGCCCAGCTGAAGTGAGCACTTTTTTTAAGAGAGCCTCTTCTTTGGTGGTCTCGGGGAATAAACCCAGGGCGTCAGCACGAAGCCACATCCCGCACCCCTTTTTAAATTAGAAACTGAGTCTCACTCAGTCACTAAGCTGCCCAGGCTGGCTCCAACTTGTGATCCTTCTGCTTCAGACTCCCAGAGTGCTGGGACTGTAGGTGTGCACCACCATGCCCGGCCGAGTTGGTCAATTATTAATGGCTATTAAAATAAATGCTGAGAATTTTTTCACATATGATACTTACTTGGACTCTCCTGTGGGCAGCAAACAGCTATTTAATCACCTACTTGGCACACACACACACACACACAACTAATCTGACTTTTGCACACAAGGCAGAACTCTTCGAAGCATTTCACCATTTTCCTACCCAAAACGTTTAGCAAAGGGTAAAGTTTCTGAGGATGCTTCCTGTCCAGGGTTCAGAAAACTCATTTTTTTGTAGCACTTGTGCAGAGGTTGTAAGGAAAAGGGTTAGGGTTAAACCATGGCATAATGGAGAAAAGGAGGCCAGGCGGTTTCCAGATTTCCTAGGACAGGTTCCCATATTTGTTTTATTTGGAATGGGTAAGAAACACATTATCAAGTCAAAAACTCAAAGTGAGAGTTTACCGTTTCTTTCATTAACATGTACTCATACAATCTTACAAAACTGGAAAGTGTTCAGTTAGTTTATATGACTAATGTGTCAGAGTGATTTTGCTAGGTGACACTAGGATACAAAGGTCAGTGAGATGTAGTTCCTGACATAGGAAGCTTAACCTAAACTCTTTTCCCTGCGGCAGGGGCGGCTCTTAGATCAGATGCCAGCAAAGATTTATCTACTTTCCAGAAACGCTGTAGTAGGAGTAAGCAACCAGCTATGTCTCAGGTGCCACCCAAGTATTAACTAACTGAAAATGAGGGTAAATTCCTCCGCACTTAGAAACCAGCACACTGATGCGCAGTGAGGTAGTGCCGCAGGCAGGATGCGACACTCTGGCTCTGCTCCTGATCATGCTGTTCTGCCTCTCTCTGCTCATTCACACTTCAATGTTTATGGTAAATCACCTTTCTTAGGCTATTGGGAATATGTACCCAGTTGTACTTACCTTTTCATTTTGAAACATTTTTGCACCCTCAACGTCTGGGAACAAACACATGTGTTTTACCTTTTTTGGTGAAAAATTCCTTGGAATATTTTCCTGCCACAATGAGCTTGCGAGGCACTTTCCCCAGAAGTTCTATGATCAATGCAATGTGATCTGTATGTTTCAGACATTTCAAGAGGGGGGAAAAAGACATATATAACAGGAGTAACAAATGCAGCTCTAGACACTGATCGAAAGAATAGCACACACACCTCTTTATAAAGCATTCTAGGCTTACTTTCTGTCCTAAATGGGAAGAACTGGATGGTACCCATCTAATACTGATCCCCCCAAAAAATCCTACGAAGTTGAGGGACTCGAGTGATTACTAAAAACAATCTTGCTGTGAATCCTCAGTTTCCTGAAGCTGCATCCCTGGCGTCTAGATGGAGACTCATGCTAGTAATTCTACTTTTGTGACTGATGGAAATTCCGTGACTATTTCCCACTGAGGGCAAAGTGTCTTGGAATTCTGCCTATCAGCTCTACAACGTGCACAAAGTGGTCTAAAACAGAAGGATAAGAAAAACAGGATCAAGGACGAGCTGGAGAAGAGGTTTGCTTACGAACAGCCCTTTCAAGAACCAGATGTTTAAAGTTACTCAAATAAAACCAACGATACTCAAGGGGAGCCTGGGAAAGCCAGGAATGATTTCAGGTGGCTGGCTACCAGATCACTGTTGGCAGGTCTCATTCTGCATTTGAGGTCTACGGATAACTTCACTTTTATTTTGTTTATATATCTAGGTTCAGGTGAGATTTTTCGGTAAGGTTAAAAAAAAAAAAAAAGGATGCCAACATGCTTTAGGAGTTCCAGAGGTGTTATGAATTTATAGTACTATTCTGGGCTTTGAGTAAAATATCATATATATGAATGCTCATGACAAAGTCACAGTCTGATGTAGCTAACTCATATACGGTTAAGTTTTTACAGTCATTTTGTAAGATTGGCCAAAGACTAATATCTTATTTTAAAGATGAGAAAAATGGAACTTCAGAAAAACTAAATGGCCTACTGACGCTTCGGGGCTAACTGCTAGAACTCAAATGAAAACTCGCATGCCCAGCCCAGAGCTTCCTCACCTACCCAACATACTTTTAATTAATCAAAAGTTAGTACGAACTGACTGTAGGCTACTAACATTTCCAAGTCCAGGTGACTTCTATAACTGTCAAAGCATGAATATGGACTGTAAGGACTGCCAGGGATGGGGGCAGACAGTAAAGGAGAGCCTGCTACCAGCCAGGACTCAAACCTCCAGAGAGTGCTACCATTCCCTTTATGTTTCAGGTGACAGAAATTAAGCACACAAAGAGGTTTTGAAAAACAATACCTCACAGAAGGATAAGAGCTTTTATAAATGCATTTAATCCTACAGATATAAAATCATTGAGAGTTAAAGGAAGTCATTAAAAAACTTCCAATTATGTATCTTCTAGGGCAAATATCGCGGCTAGATGCATCCATGTCATCTGGGAATCTGCACAGGTCTCAGTTCTCTCCCTCCCTCCCTCCCTCCCTCTCACCTAAAACATCCAGTGGTGTTATTTTTTTTTTTGGTTTTTCTCCGGTACCAGGAACCGAACTCACGACCTTACGCTTGCCAGGCAGACGCTTTGCCGCTGAGCTAAATCCCCAGCCCCCAGTGGTGTTATTTTAAAAGGGCCTGATAAATCCACGACAACCTTTGAGGAATACTGATTGAATTTATGTTTGGTAACAACTACCTAACGGCCAAGAAATTTCTGATGTTAAGCAAGGCCTGAAAATAGATGTCTTTGTATGAATTACCACTAACAACCACCAAGATGAGAATGCGAAGACTAAATAAGACTATGGTTCCTTTTTCTGTGAACTTCTACATGAAGCAATGATTCTTCTGAAGTTTTTCCTATACCAAGGAATATACCGAAATGTTTCCTATGCCACGCCTGCTCTTCTAGGCTAAACTGAAGGAAAGTACCACAGAGGGGTTGCGGTTTGACCTACTGACTACCAACACTGACTAATGAAGGAAGGAAATATCAGGATCTAATGTCTGGGGAAGGTGGCTGTCTTCTGCCTCACTCGGGATTTTTTATGTGTGATTTTCAGTTCAGCAGTTTTGGATCCTTGTCAGTGTGATTCTCGCCACTGTGTGTGCACTACTGCACACATTAATATTTACAGCCTAGGGAAGTAAGAGAAAAGAAACGAAGCGCTCCTCCCAAACAAATATTACAACATTTAAAAAAAACACTATCAACATGTGACTCCGAACTTCTAACCCAGAAAAAATGCAGAATGTGCACGGGCGGTAATTACAAGAGGCGCACATAAATACCACACACAGACGCGGACATGCCCAAACCATACCTACCAAAACAGGCACTCAGCTATGGGAATTAGCTCTACGTTTTCCAAACAGGATTTGTTAGGCGTATTAGCAAGCTATCCTAACACCGCCTATTAATACGGAGGGGAGCGTGCTGTGAGGAGCGGAGTGTGCCTGGAACCCAAAGCCTGGAGGGACGCACGGGAAGGACGCCTTCTTCACACTGGGCTGTGCGGCACCTGCGCCCACAGAGCGACCCTCCTCACTCCTGCAAACAAAGTAAACGCTCCCTGAACAGCACAAAAAGGTCAAACATTTCTCTAGCCATTTTCTTTTCACGTGAACTCATTTAGTTACGTGGATGGCCCACAAAGGGAAATGAGACACAGCTGTGTGCTTCCATGCCTCTCAGATGCAGCGACTTGACAGCGGCTCTTCCCACAGGGTACCACAAATTTAAATCCATTATATTTCGTTTTAAAATGGAACTCTAATTGCCACTAACATCTTAAAAAAAAAAAAAAGAAAATCCTGGTGTTACAGGATTTACGTTAATAGAGCACAGCCTCTGCATTTAAGCAGTGCTCACAGATTATAATTACTGATTTCCAAATAAAGTTGGAGGCATAAATGAGCCACAAGTTGACGACAAGGTAAATTTAAGCTGGGTAAAGACTAAGTCACTGACATAAAAGCAGACGACTAGACAGTGAATAAAAACATGAACTGACAAAACGTTTTAGCTCAACACTGAACGAGAGCGCGTTAGTATCTTTTATAAGACACCCGGCAGAGCTGATACCCAGTTTTGGTGGGGGGGCTTGTACGTTCCTAGCGCACTGATAAGATTACTAAAGCTCTTTCCTCACTATGAACTGACGGTGTTCGCCACCCAGGGAAGCGAAACTACCACGCAGACAAGGGGACTCACCTTCATCGCGGGTGTACTCTTCTCCTGAATGAGGTTCAAATAAATAATCCCCTGTGGCCAGTTCAAAGGCCTACAAAAGAGAATACACGAAAGTGTCAAACAAAAAGGCCTTTAGAAATCTGACTCAGTATTACATTTTTTTTCATGCAAAAATCTACAGATGACCCTTTTAAAAACAATTTATCACTAAAGAATTTTCCTTCACATCTGTTATTTTAGTTTTTTGGTACTAGGAATCCAACTCAGGACCTTGCACTTGCCAGGTAGGCACTGTGCCGCGGAGCTATCTCCCCGGCTGTATTTTAATAAAATGGGAAAAAAAGGAAAACCCGAAAACAAAAACAAGAAAAAACTCACTTTCTACCAATGTGTGCATTCCCATGTGGGAAATGAACAAATGACAGCAGTAAAATACAGACAAAACCTCGACCCAGCAGGGGCTGGGGAGAGATCAGACAGTGGGCACAAGGCCACACATACAACTAGCCTCTGCTGCTCTGTGGCCCAGCGGACAGACTGCCGTTGACAGATAATACTTTGTGTATCTCAAAACAGCTAGAAGGCAGAACTTTGAATGTTCTCACCACAAAGAAACGATGTCTGAGGTGTAGACATGTGTGGCAACAACTCAAACGTGATCATTATACACTGTATATGTTTACTGAAAAACCACACTGTACTCTGTGTGCAGTTATTACATGTCAATTAGAAAAAAACAAGCTGGGCCGGGAATATAGCTCAGCGGCACAAGCACCTGCTTGGCAAGCGCAAGGTCCTGAGTTTGATTCCTGATACCAAAAAAAAAAAAAAAAAAGAAAAAAAACAAGCCAACAAACAACCCCCCAGAGCAGTTCAGCCCTCTTTAGCTCTTCTTTTTGGTCAGAAAAGGGGACAACCGAAAATGAAAGGATTTTGGGTTATGGAATCATTCGATGTGAAGAGCAGGTCTTGCTGGTATTCTAGTTTCACATGGCTAAAGACAGAAGCCTGTACTCCAAAACCACAGTCAGACATCTTTCTATAATTCTTTAGTATTTGACAATGAGTACAGTCTTAAAATTTTGTACGGAAAACAATCCCTAGACTGTACCACACTGAGAGTTCTGAGCCAGTCTATTCCATGTGACCCATGAGCCAGAAAAGGAAAGACACACATCTCCCATGACACAAAAACCTCCTGCACTCAAGACAGTGTTCAAGGGGGATTCAGGCGACTTCTTTTGGAGTAAATGTCAGGAAGCACGGAAAGGACAGCATCCAGATAACTAATAAGGGCAATAAGAATTTCCCATTGACTAAAAACGGATTTTCAAAAAACTACAATAGCAGTTTTGAAAAATGGCATTATTAGCCGGGAACGGTGCAGCATACCTGCAATCCTAGCATCTGGAAGGCTGAGACAGGAGGATCAAAAGTTTGAGCCCAGCCTGGACAACTTAGTTATTTACACTCAGTCTCAAAATGAGAAAGTGAAAAAAGGGTGGGGCATGTAGCTCGGCGCAGAGGCCCTGGGTTCAATCTCTAATGCGTAAGTGCAATTACAGTCACAGGCCAATTTTGACTGAGTCGATGGTATGAAGCAATCCAGATCATCTCAAGGACTGCAGGCGCATTCACGACAAGACCACCTTTCTCCGAACTGTACTGCTCGCCTGGACCACCACCCAGAGCGAGGCCATACAGCCGGAAGTTCCAGGAACCAAACACTCGTCTCCAAATGCCAGTGATGCTACGGTTTCTTGGGCGGGAGAGCTGGTTTTACATTCTTCAGTTCATTAAGAAGCGGAAGCACACCAGAAGAGGTATCTTCTATCCTAATATATGATGAAGGCTAAAGTCCCAACAGGCACAGAAACAAACTGTTTCTTATTCAAAATAAAACTTTTTCAAAATCTCTTATAAATGTGTTTCAGTAATGATAATGGAAGTTACAAGACCCTGTCTCATTTCCCCCTCCCAAAGGAAAGAAGTATCATACTGACTACTATAAACAAACCGACACCAACAAGCTGGGTAAGGTGGAAGTAGGTACATTTTCAGACACACCAGCCTACTAAGACTCAGTCCCAAAGAAACAGAAAACCTGAACAAACAACAAGGATGGACCCTGACTCAGTAACTTGAAGTATTCCATCAAAGGAAAGCCCAGGACCTGATGGCTGTACTGCTGAATTCTACTAAATATTTAAAGAAGAACTGATACTGTCCACAACATGGAAGAGAAGGGTATTTCCAAAATCCTGAGAGCAGCAATGTCCTAGTATCAAAGCTACAAAAAAAAAAAAAAAAAAAAAAAATTCTTGAGAGGGAAAATTATAGCCCAATATTCTGGATGAATATATATACAAAAATCCCCAACAAACTACCACCTGGCTGGGGATGTGCCTCTGTGGTAAAGTGCTTGTCTAGCATGTGTGAGGTCCTGAATTCAATCTTTAGCATCACTAAAACAAAACAAATGCTAAATACTACCAAACTGAATTCAATAGTACATTAAAAAGATCACGGCCATCATCAAGTGGAGGGTCCTTCTCGGGAGGCTGCGTTTGCGCCCAGAGCTGCACAAGGCAAAGGAAACAGCAAACCCGTGAATGAGTCTGACCTGACTAGGAAAAGAATGATTTTTCTCCCCCCTGGTACCGGGAATCGAACTCACGAGCTTGCGCTTGCTGGGCAGGTGCTGTGTCGCTGAGCTAAAACCCCAGCCTCTGGAAAAGAATGATTTTGAGTGGAATATATGCAGTTAAAGGACCTAACATGGGGGCGTAACATAACTTAAGATCACTCAGGCTGTTACAGGAGAAAACAGAAACACAGAAAGAAGTTGTGTGACCACTGTCCCCACCCAAGTAAGTAACAGTGATGCCTGCGGCCGGAACCGGTTAACAGAAAAGGTAAGAAATGCTCCATACGGGATACATTCTGAAGGCGGCAAGCAGAACTTGCTGATAGGTGCAGAAAGTAAGAAAAAGAATCACCACCTTACTCCAGGGATCTGCAGCACCACAGCTGTGTCAACTCACAACCCGCCCCCTCAGCGGTGTGCTGTTCACTGGGGTTACAGTGAAGGTCTGGAGCCAATCAAATCTGCATCTCTCAGTTCTCCCTGCTTTCTTCCCTGTCCTCTGCTCTCGAGGGCGGTGCATTTCATCACCGCTATCCTTGAAGACCGGTTCCTCCCCTTCACCAACAACGCCTAGAAATCCAGATTCTTCTGCACACACCAACTGCTAGAATCTACTCTCTAGCATAGATCCTCGCGGTGTTATTACAGAAACTACCTGTGAAAGAGACCGGCTCGCCTATGTGTTTATGTTTATGTCTCTGTTTCACAGGCAACTGCAGCACGGCAGCAGCAGCAACAACGAGGTAAACCTATGGGCTGCAGGACAAGAAAACCGTATTCTGCTGGGTCTGTGACTCCCTGTTCTTGAACAAAGGTGACAACCTTTGGTGAAATCTGAACAGCTACTGTACAATACAGATATTCCTGCCTTTCTTTCAGGCAGCTCTGATTTGGGATTGGTGATGGTGAAGGAAAAACTCAATGGGTCAAATTACAAATTTTGATAGTTTTCTGCCTTTTAGCAGCTTTATAAATTCTATACAGATAAAATAGGATAAACCCTTTTTGCTCCCCATTCTTTGCTCCATTTCCACTGCTCCAAATACTTGATTAAAAATTAAAATTGTACTTTTCTAGTTTTTTATTATTGCTTTGTCACTCAGCAATTTATGGAGCAGAAAAAGGTAATTTGCTCTATCTTCTAAATATGTGCAGCTGCATTCATAGAATTTCCCATAAACCCTGTCCTGAATTTCAGAGATTAAAAAATAAAAAAGGAAAGGTTTTGGAAGGTAGTCACTTCAAGAAAAGAATTACAAGAAAAGGTAGATAACTGGGGAAGGCACACGTACTTTCCCATTGCAGGAGGGGAAGGGACAGTCAAAGGTCAGAAGAAGATAATCTCATCCTGTCAGTTACGGTGCTCTGTACTCTGGTCCCAATGTCTGCAGATTTTAAATTCTTAATGTTCTTCACAGATATCTTCTGCTACTCCTTTTCAGAACTGCCCTCCTAATTTGGTTTCAATTGCTAATGTGGTAAGCAACCTCTCAACTTGTCCCTCTACCTCTCGGAAGGGTCCCAACCTTTCTAACAATTAATTGCACTGGACGCAGGATGATCCATCTTTCTTCTGCTAGACCAGGATTTATTTCTGACCAAAATGAAAGCAACATTTTCCATGTTTATTGGCAGAATGACAGAAATTTAAGAACCAAATAGGGCTCAAGTTTTTCATGGTATTGTCTCATGTCTGGTAAGTGCTCTCTATCCCTTGCTCAAGAAAATTCCATGTGAGCAGGTCTACGGGTTAAGGCTATTTCCTCCTGCACCCTCTGTCTTACTCATGCCCACCACTGACAACTATAACAAGCAGCAGGACCTCCTGCCCTCAAACAAAATAGGAACGTGGAGTATGAAACAGAAACCAAAGTCTTCACCTTCTTGCAGCAAATAACCCACTATTAAGAACCATGTCTTCATAAAGCCTCCTCTTTGTTTCTTTTGATAATGCCGGGGTTTGAACTCAGGGCCCTTACATTGAGCTACATCCACAGTCCTTTTTTATTTTTTAATTTTGAGACAGGATCTTGATAAAAAAGTCATCCAGGCTGGGCTCAGCCTCTCAGAGTGCTGGGATTATAGGTGTGCACTACCATGCCCTGCTAATGCATCTTCCCTGTAATAAATCAGATACCCTGTGTAAACTATATTTTGTAGATAGTGGCGTCTCCTCACTTAGGATTTTTCTCTAGCAGATCAATCAAATCAAATTCTTAAAAACAAACAGCTTTACAGTATAAGTAAAAAGAAAGCAGATTTTATTCCAATACCCTTTTATCTTGTGCTTATTTACCCAAACTTACCTAACTTCAGAGAGACCTCTATCTTTACAGGTATATACCACAACGAAGCACCTTATGTGGTCATACTACATCAACAGCATGGTCTTAATTCTACTACCTTTACAGACGAAAGGTTTTCCGAATGAAGGGAATCTATGACCTAAAACAGTCTGGAGACGTGCTTGCTTCAGTAGCACATATGATATACTAAAATAGTTTGCAGAGGCCAGTTTGTCCTTTTCCTCACGTTTTCCCCAGAATACTAAACATTAATCAAGGGCTTACTGTGCTTCTGTTAATTCATTCGATTGGTCGGTAACATTTATTAACTACTGTCATCCTCGTTTCCTGGGAGGGGGCACTCGGACCCTTGGAATTTCCAAGTGTTCAGAGTTGTTCACAGCGTTACTCACTCTTGGACCGCACCTCAGCTTACACTAACAAGTTGCCCCATGGGAGGACCCCTAGATAAATGGTGAGAAGACCAAGCTTGTAATTAAAAGGCTGGGGCTTTCCGGCCTCCCAATCTCCAGGGAAAGTGATGGGGCTGGACACTGAGCATAGTCACACGGCCGATAAGTCAATAATCTCTAGCCAATGAAGTCTCAACAGCACTGAATATTTGAAGCTTGGCTGAACTTCCTTGGTAGGTGATACATATCAATGTACTGGGGTGATATATCCTGAACACACAGAAGCTTCCCATCTGGTATCCTCTCAGAACTCATCCGGTGTATCTCATCTTGTTTTGTATTCTTCAGAATAAAACTGTAAGTCTAGTACTTTCTGAGAGCGTAGTAGGAACCTCTGAATTTATAGCCAGCTGGTCAGGAGTGCAGTGGCTTGTGGACTCTGGAACAGGAGGCCAGAGTTGGAAATGAAGACATTCTTGTGGGAAACTATGCCCTAACGTATCAGCTCTGCCAAAGCTCTGGGTAGTATTAGAAATGCACTGCAAGTACCTATTCAAAGCATGCTAGCGGGGCTGGGGATTTAGCTCAGCGGCAAAAGCGCCTGCCTGGCAAGCGCAAGGTCGTGAGTTCAGTTCCCGGTACCGGAGAAAAGCCAAAAAAAAAAAAAAAAAAAAAAGCATGCTAGCCAAACCTAAAAAACAGGTTCCTGCCAGTATGATGCTATAATCTTGTGGGAGAGAAACAAGCAAACCAACGTTTACGACAGACTGGTAAAGGAGGAGGGTCACGAGGTGTATACTCCATTTCAGGAAACAATATACCACATTCCAATGTAAGGCTACTTGTGGAAAATCATTCAGCATTGATGAAATGCGATTGCTCGCTAGGGACAAAGAAGCAACTTATAAATCCATGAATTATTGTGTTTTATACCTCACGAGTTGCAAAAATGCCCATGGGGATGCTCAATTTTGCAAAGAGATCAGTGCTAAAGGGTACATGTACTTTCATTGCCCAATCCACACCAACAATGCCTTATAGCAACTGTTTTCAATTCAGACTCTCCAGACACAGGGTTTATAGTTTCTATGGAAAGTCACCTATCAGCTCTTTTTCTGCTTGTTAACATGCTGGTCTCCCGAAATTAGCAAACAGGCGAGGTCTGAAACTACCACACAACAAGTGAAGGCCAAGCGTGAATAAAACATTACCATGCACGCCGTGCTCCAGATGTCAGCCGGGGTATTATAACCAGATCCTATCAGAACTTCCAGGGAGCGGTACTGCCTTGTTTGAATATCTTCAGTGAAATGTTTGTGCTGAGTAATTGGAAAAGGAAACAGCATTTAAGAATTCATATTAAGAAGTAACAAGTCAGGACTGCTTAATAATGGAGTAAAATCAATTATCTGTTTTCCCCCAAAACAAAGGTTCCACTCAGCTAATTTCTCAAACATGAAGTTCACTCCAAAAACCCCTCTGCCATACTCACTGCCACGCTGCACTGTCTCCGCACACAGACGGGTCTAAACTGAACACTGCTACCTATTTATTCTGCTTGGTACACATTTAGTGAGCAATAACAGCTTCACAGAAAATTAAAATTACCTCAAACAAAAATTATGTTGCTCATGTGCCTAAAATTAGTAAACTGTACCTCAACAATTAAATGTGAATCTTACAAAAACAGAGAACATATTAAGCAAAACAGCTTAGTATTTTAAGCAAAAAAATTGGGAGTTAAAAAAAATACAAACAACTGGGAGATTCATAAATAAATAAAATGTATAAAAGGAAAAACTTCTAAAGTAAAAGTAATTTAAGCCTGGGCATGGTGACTCACACTCTAATCCTAGCACTTGGGAGGCGGACATAGGAGGACTGTTGGAAGTTCAAAGCCAGCCTGGATTACACAGTAAGACTCTGACTCAAAAAAACCAAAAATGAACAAAAGGCAAACTAAGAGTCACAGTACATAATTGTGCATTCACGGATTCTGTTTGGATCCTGTTTCAAATGCACAAAGTTAAAAGACAAAGGTAACTGCAGAAACTAATTGAATTGTCTCCTTTTTTTCAGATGTGACAATAGTGTCAAGTTACCAAAAAGAATAATCTCTTAAAAAACCATATTTACGTATGAAATACGATGTCTGGGGTATACTTCCAAACAATCCAACGTGCATGGTAAGGCTGACAGAGGGATGAAAATCCCAGCACTTAGAAAGCTGAGGCACAGGAGGTTTGCCAAGAGTTTGAGGCCAACCTATGCTACAGAGCAAGTTCAAAGCCAGCCTGAGCTACAAGGGAAAACCCTGTTTCAAGAAAGAACAGAAAAGATACACATGAAAACAGACTGGCAACGCACTGACAAGTGCTAGGTGCGTCAGCACAAAGACACGGGCGTTCACGACTCTGTTCTTCCTCTTCTTGTGGATGTTTGGAATTTTTCACAACAAGCAAATAAAAAAAGGCTTATATAAATTATACAAAGGGGAAAAATCCAAATATTATTAAAATCTGCATAGGAAAGTCATGATGACAACCTGTATCTCTAATCCTGCTGAAATTCAAACAAACATGGAACTGCATTGTGGAGAGGGAAAATTAGAAAGAGAAAGCTGCAGGCAGAAAATCAGTATCAATCAGGGCTGCAGAGGGTACCTGACTAAGTTTGACCAAAAGAGCAACAAGCACTAAACTGCCAGGTAGATTTCCTCTGGCAGCCACAAGGGAGTGTCACTGCACTTTTGTGAACAGGAGAACACACCGTCAATATCGGCAGAACAGCTGAAAATGTCATTCAGTAATCTTATGTCTGGTGGCCAGATTTAAAGATGGTATTGAAATCTGAACAATGGTTGTGGAAATAGAAGAGGGGAGAGTTAAATCAAAGGACATTCACTAAAGGAATAAGTAGAATTTAAAAATTTAGTGGTTACATATGGGGAGACCAAAAGCCTAAAGAAAGAGCTAAAAGAACTTTGACCCAGAGGCCTAGAACGGCTGAGATGGGTGACTCAGAGGAAAGCAGTTTTTTTTATAGGAAAGCAGGGAGTCAGTAATGAGTCTGAAGTGACTTAACCTGACAAAACCAGAGAATAGCAAAGTGAAGGCAATACAATTTAGAAGTTGGAAAACAGGGATCACTGGCAAATGGCTTTTTGGACCCAAAAATGCCACTGCTTTTTTTATGCCACAGTACTCCTCCCCACAGTGCTCAGAACGAGGCGGCGTCTGCTTGTCTCCAGAGGTGGGGTAAGGGTGGGATTCAATCCAGGCAGGAATATCTACACCATCTTTTTAAGAAACAGAGCTCCAGAAAATAAAAACAGAAACAGTACATGATGTTGCCTAACACCCCCTTTCCCAGCCTAAAGGACTACTTGGTTTATCCTTGGAATGGACAAAAATCAGGGTCTCTGGAGGAGACCTACAGTCAAAGGGAGAGTACTATTTTGAAAACTAGAAAATTAAGTGACCTTACTACAGATGCTGAAACATCTTTTTGCTTAACTAAGCGCCTGGAACACTAGTAGTCAGGCAATTACTCTCTGGTAGAAGATACACAGATTATAAATCTTGTGCAGGGACTATGACCACCCCAAGAGGAAAGAGCCAAAGATCTTGACATGTACGGATGAAATCAAATGGCCCAAACACATCTTTCTTTCTTTCTTGTTTTTGTTTTTTTTTGAGATACAGTCTTGCTATGTAGCCCAAGCTGGCCTCAAACTTTTAGCGATCCTCCTGCCTCAGCCTCCAAGTGCTGGAATTACTGGTGTGTGTGCCACTACGCCCAGCTCCAAACACATCTTTTACAGTGAATAACAGTCTATAGGGCCAACTTCATTCAATCGGTCAGACAGTCTTCTGTTTAGTGATCCTAAACAGAAAGAAAGTAATAGGTATACACAAGAAGAAAAGCTCAAGAAAGCAAAAACACTTTCTGAAAGATTAAAATGAAAAAAAGTTTGTAAGAAATAAAAAACCCCCAAAATTCTTAGAAAGTAAAAATATAATAGGAGAAATGAGACACAATGAGGCTTATCAGAAGAAGTTGAGAAATGCGTCCAGAAGTTACAGCAAAAAGCAAATGATAGAAGATGGAGAAAAAGGTAAGAAAAGGAGAAGACCTGTACAGAAGGCCCGACCTTTGAGAAATGAGATTTCAGAAGTAGAGAATTTTAAAAATTAAAGACTCAATCCAAAGAATCGTAGCTCCAATACTTAAAGGGCACATCAGATCTTTACTATACGGAGGGAAAAAGACCTCTGGGGCACGTAGCTGTGAAATGATGACCCTATCAACTCACGCAGGAAGGAAGGGTTTCATAAAAAATCAAGAATCAGAGCAGACTCTGTCGCTGTAGCCTTAGCAGGCCTGAGTTCTCAGGTTTGATCTCCAGCATGAAGGGAAGAAGAAAAGACGTATTTCTATCACTGAGTAAAAGTATGGGACTGAAGTAAGTGAAAAATATAAAGAGCTAAGCAAACCAACAATGTTATGCAGAAAGGAGAAAAGAAATCACAATACAGTGCATATTCAGTTCAACTGAGGAAAGCATGAGAATCCCCATAATATGATCATGAAATGATTGTCTAGCCCAAAATTATATGACATTTGAAATACAGGTGATTGGTGCAGCGGTAGCAGATATGCCCTGTTTTCCAGGAAGAAATAATTAGAATTGGAAAAAGAAGGAGGGCTCGGAGCACGTCTTCTCGAGGGGTGACCCGCTGCCAAGTGCTGTCCCACAGGAAAGCAGGCCCGTGACGGCGCCAGCGCGAGCTCGCCACCGCACTCACCAGGGTCTGGCACTGTGTGGCTCTTGGCTCCTCTCCACAAAAGGTAAACATTTTGAATCAATTCAGAACCTCGAGGCAGCCCTGACAATGCAACTGACGACGTTCAGCAAAGCGGCAAGTATGACGGTGAAGGGTGCTCCCAGCAAGTGTTTTAAGGGGGATTCATGGCAATGTGTCCTCACTGTATAAAACTGTTTTTTAAAAAGATAAACATCCTCTATATTTTTTGATCCCACCTAGTATTACTGATAGAATGGTAAGTGCTGTCATAGGGAGTGAAAAATTGGCAAAGGGTAGGACATGTTTTTAAATTAAAATCTGTACAACTATTTCTGAACTCTTTACATATATAATAGTATCTTTTAAATAACCAAACTCTTTGAAAATTATGTTCAAGTCCATTACCAAATGCCACATGCTGAAAAGACCACTGGGAAGTGAGGTAAGACCAGGATCTAAGAAGGGGAGACATCCACGTCACGTTCCCAACTAGGTCCTAGCACCCAGGTCAGGAGTGTCAGTGGGTCTGCTGAGTGAGTGAGTGGGTAAGAAGAATGCAGCATCATCTTCACAGAGAGATGGAGAAGGACATGCATGTAACAGCTGATGAGACATTACCTTCGCTACAGTAAGAGAGACCAGGAAAAATTTGACCAGAATAAAAAAGTGTGCCACAGAGTGATAGGCAAAAAGCCACAGAGCACCAAGTACAAGGAGTGTACTTAATGTCAAGTTCTTACAGGGCTAATGTTTCTCTCTACTTCATTTACTTGAGTATTTACTATGTATGAGGTATTGCTCTAAGTACTACAGATAACAGCAGTGAAGAAAATACATATACGGTATGCATGTTCCTGAGAAAGAACAATATCAGAATATTCAGCAGTATCAGAATATTCAGCAATATCAGACTGCTTAATATCAGAATATTCAGCAATATCAGAATATTAATATCAGAATATTAAGCAATATCAGATTATGTTTTGCACTGTGGAGAGAGGAAGAGGGAGAAAAAACATAAATCAAGATGATAAAGATGTATGTTTAGAATGTGGTGCTCAATTGCATTAGGTCACCTGTAATCTCGGCACTCAGGAGGCTGAGGCAGGAGAACTGCTGCGAGTTCGAGACCAGCCTGGGCTACAAAGTGAGTTCAAGGCCAGCCTGAACTGCATAGTGAGACCCCTTCTCAAAAAGACAAAACAAACAAGCAAAAAAACCAAAATTGCACTGGGTGTCAGGAGAGATTTCCCTGCAAGATGGCATCTAAACTGAAACTCAGAATGACAGTAAGCTGAACACAGTATTTTGGGAAGACGATGCCAGGTAGAAGGAACAGGAAGTACTCTTTTGCTCGGTGGTATCTGGGCCATGGTAGCACTCTGGTATTCATTCTGAGGGGAGTCACTGTAAGGGATAGATAATATCTGATTTGCTAATCTTTAGACAGTCC